TATTAACAATGACAAGAAATCAATATTTAATGGACAGCAATAATAAACATCAACCGTACAGCAGCAACAACTACAACAAGGATATTTTAATAGCAATTTACAATACGCTAGAAGGCGACAGCAAAACGAGAGAATATCTCAGGAGTAGGAGAGATGATAACAGAAATGATGGTTAAAGGATGATGCCATAAGGATATAGAAAATGATGCGAGGGTTGGTTAGAAAAAGGATTTTGGTAAAAATACTATATATAACAAAACAAAGGTATTCATTAAGAAAGTTTCTTAACTAGTTGTATTAACTTCTCCCTTGACCCTCGTTATTACAAAAAATAAAATTTCTTTTGCGAAACAGTTACACATCATTGACTTTTTACGCTGACAATAACAAAATAATATTTTTTTCTCTTGTATCCTTGTGCCATGTCTTTAATGTCGTCTCCGTCCTTTCACATCCTTTAGGCCATTAATGTTGGCGGGAGTAGTGTAAGCAGTATTGTGTATTTATATTTAAAATAAATAAATATTTCTTTTCGTTTTTATTGCTTTTACATTTTTCATCTTCTTTTATTTTACTTTATCTGTTAAACACTTCAAACTTTAACCGTTTTATATGGAACGACAAATATAAGAATTTATATTTATGTGTAGAAAAAAATGTTTAAATTATAAATATTTCCCTTTGGAGCAAAAAATGTTTTTTTTCTGCTTAGTTCCTTAGATACTTAGGAGCGCTTCCTTAGATTTGTTATATTAAATTGCTTTAGAGATTTTAACAGAATTCTTTGTAATCGAATTTGTTTTATTTTAATGTTTTTTTCTTATTTGTCATTTAAAGTCTAGTCATTTAATTTCGATTTTTTTGTTTAAATCCTGGGGAGAATTAAAGAGCTGAGTGAGTGGTTGTATTTGATTTTGTAAAACGTTACAAAAGTCAGAGTTTAAGGAATTGAGGAGAAATTAATGATGCTGGAGTTATGGGAGAGAGTTGATTAAATTTTTTAGACAAAAGACGATATTAATAACTTTTGTTTATTTTTATCTCTTATTTGTTATATAAACTATGTGTAAAGATATTGGATTTTTTCCAATCGTATATTTGAAAAAGTGTCCCTAAGTAATCTAGTGAGGTGACATATTGCTCCTTTTTTAAAGAAAGTGTTTAAGATCAAAAATGTTTCTCTTAAAATGAAATGTTTATATAGAAAATATCACACCTGCATGACAACCTAATTGTCAACCTCCAAGGGCTTTTACCTTAAAATTTATTTCCTATTTCCCTTTCTCTCAAATTACATTTCATATTTATTTTAATAATACTCCTGGCCTTTATGGCCTCTCTGGCCATTTCCTTATTAACACAGCTATGACCAGTTCTATTTGTTTTCTTTCTATTCTGCCTATTTTTTTGTTTATCTCTAATTTCTAAGTTTCTTTTGTGTTCTAGTGTCTTTTATGGGGTCGTTAAAGTGAATTATTACCTTTTTCTCTTTGTTTTAGATTGATGATGTTGGTGTAGTGTGGTGAGTTGTAATCCTGGATAGTCCATAAGTTAGGTATTAAAGGTATTTATACCCATAAGGTAATCTAACTAATTACACAAAGGACATATTTCATATCCTTCTTTTATATTTTGTTAGTTTTCTACCATATCCTTAAACAAAAAGCTAAATACTTATAGTAGTTTAATAGAAATCTCTGGGAATAAAAGAAAACTTTTTAAAATGTTAGAAATTGTTGTTGATTGAAATTAGAAACTTAAAAGTTTTTCTTTTAGAAAAAATGTTTTACTAATAGAAAATATGTTTTACTAATAAAATGGCAAAATGATATCTTGTGCATTAGTATTGCTTTTAAATTATTGCAAAATGTCTAAAAAAGATATAAAATTTTTAATAAACACAAGAAAAGGAAAACACAAAAATTTTAAAAGGAAGTTAAAAAATAAAATTGAATTATAATTGAGTTCAAGTTTGTTTTATGTTCACTTCTAGCTCAGCTCTGGTTCAGTTCTAGTTCAGTTCTAGTTCAATTCTAGTTCAATTCTAGTTCAGTTCAGTTCAGTTCTAGTTCAGTTCTAGTTCAGTTCTAGTTCAGTTCTAGTTCTGTTCTAGTTCTGTTCTAGTTCTGTTCTAGTTCTGTTCTAGTTCTGTTCTAGTTCTGTTCTAGTTCTGTTCTAGTTCTGTTCTAGTTCTGTTCTGTTCTAGTTCTGTTCTAGTTCTGTTCTAGTTCTGTTCTAGTTCTGTTCTAGTTCTGTTCTAGTTCTGTTCTAGTTCTGTTCTAGTTCTGTTCTAGTTCTGTTCTAGTTCTGTTCTAGTTTTGTTCTAGTTCTGTTCTAGTTCTTTTCTAGTTCTGTTCTAGTTCTGTTCTAGTTCTGTTCTATTTCTGTTCTAGTTCTGTTCTAGTTCTGTTCTAGTTCTGTTCTAGTTCTGTTCTAGTTCTGTTCTAGTTCTGTTCTAGTTCTGTTCTAGTTCAGTTCTAGTTCAGTTCTAGTTCAGTTCAGTTCAGTTCAGTTCTAGTTCAGTTCTAGTTCAGTTCTAGTTCAGTTCTAGTTCAGTTCTAGTTCAGTTCTAGTTCAGTTCTAGTTCAGTTCTATTTCAGTTCTAGTTCAGTTCTAGTTCAGTTCTAGTTCAGTTCTAGTTCAGTTCTAGTTCAGTTCTAGTTCAGTTCTAGTTCAGTTCTAGTTCAGTTCTAGTACAGTTTTAGTTCAGTTCTAGTTCAGTTCTAGTTCTGTTCTAGTTCTGTTCTAGTTTTGTTCTAGTTCTGTTCTAGTTCTGTTCTAGTTCTGTTCTAGTTCTGTTCTAGTTCTGTTCTAGTTCTGTTCTAGTTCTGTTCTAGTTCTGTTCTAGTTCTGTTCTAGTTCTGTTCTAGTTCTGTTCTAGTTCTGTTCTAGTTCTGTTCTAGTTCTGTTCTAGTTCTGTTCTAGTTCTGTTCTAGTTCTGTTCTAGTTCTGTTCTGTTCTGTTCTAGTTCTGTTCTAGTTCTGTTCTAGTTCTGTTCTAGTTCTGTTCTAGTTCAGTTCTAGTTCAGTTCTAGTTCAGTTCTAGTTCAGTTCTAGTTCTGTTCTAGTTCTGTTCTAGTTCTGTTCTAGTTCTGTTCTAATTCTGTTCTAGTTCTGTTCTATATCAAGTTCTAGTTCTGTTATAGTTAAATACTATTTAATTCCTGAAAAGTGTTTTTTACCCACATTTATTTACCTTTTCTTTATAAATAGAAAAAAACAACTTTTTTTGTTTAAATTATATTTATTTTTTCTTTATTATTTATTTATTTCACAAAAAATGTTTTTTAGTTTTATAATTTAATTTTTTAGTTATATTTACTTTTATCTTTCAATTTTTGTTTTTTTATGTTACTTTTATTGAGCATTTTATTTTTATTAGTTTTTAATATATTTATTTGTTTATTTCTGTTGTTAATTCATTTTATTTTTTAAATTTTAATTTACCATCATTATTTAAATTGTTTTGTGTGTAGTTAATATTATTTATAATTTACAAAGTTTCTGTGTTTATTTTTGTTGGTTTTTTTATTCAAGTTTTAAACTAAATTAAAAATTTATTTTGTGTAGATTTTTTTTGACTTTAACTTTTAAAAATTTTACAAATTTCACATTTAATACAATTCTTAAGGTTTTTTTTTTTGATAATTTACTTTTTTCTTTTTGTTTGTTTTTTATAATAATTTTACGATTTTTTTGTAGATTTTTTGAAAGTTTTTTTGTGTAATTTTTTAATTAAAATTATTAAGCTAAAATGAAAATTTTTTGTTTTATTTGACACAGGAAAATGATAGAATAATATGAATTTAAACAAAAAGTTAAAATTTTTAAAAATTTTTTAAAAAAATATGTTTTAAAAACAATGAAAGTTAAAATCATAAAAAATAAATATAAGTATTTTGTTTAAATAATCACCCTGGTTAGGAAATTTTGAAAAAGGGGAAAAAAATTTTCTTCGATATCTAAAAGTTAACAAGATAAATTGTTCTATTACAAAAAAATTATTAAATCTATTAATGTGGTTTGTTTTATTATTTCACAAAATGTTGAGAATTTCGGGAATTTCCCAAGAAAAATCTAAAAAGTTTATTATTTATTTAGTTAAAAATGGAAAATTTTCTTTATATTGCAAAAAATTAACAAAATCTGTCAATATAATTTTATCCAGGGTAATTATTTTTTATCTGTTAAAATTTCTCTACAATTTTCTATTATAATTAAAATGTTTTGTTTTTTATTTTAAAACTTGTTGAAATCCATTTAAGTTTATTCTGTATTTTAATGCAAATAATTGTTTATAGTTTTTTAACTATTTTAAATTTAACAGTTTCTTTATAAATTTACTTTAAATGTGTTGTTATTGGTTTTCTTTAAAAATGTTTATTTCTTTACTTTATTCAAATATTTACAATGATTTTTTTACTTATAGACTTTATTTGTTTTTTAAATATTAACAAATTATTTAATAAAATTTTAAATGAAATTTTTAATCTCTTACAAAGGAAAAAACATAATTAAATTAAATTTAATTATTTTTTTTTTAAATAACGAAATAAAATTGTGTTTTTTGTTTTAATTTTCTTAAAGAAAAATTGGCAGGACTTCCTTTCATTGTTGTTTAAGAGTTTTTTGTTTTATTGTAAATAAATGACCACAAAGGTTGTAATAAGTTGAGTTGATTGTTGTTGTTGTTGTAGTTGTGCCTGTTTAAGTTGTAAAGGCTTTGTGTATGTGTTCTAGATTGTTGGTGTTACTTAATGAGTGCTTAGATAAGAGAGAAAGTCTGTTTCCGGTTGCTTAGTGGTGTTCAAATGATCTCGTTTCTGCTCTCTAGTTTTTTAACTGTAATTGCTGTTGTCGTTGTTGTTGATGACAAATGTTTAAGTGTGTGTGTGTGTCTATGTTTGTGTGTATGACAGTGTGTGTTTTCTTATACATTTTCTTTTTTTACTTAATGTATTTCCTAAAAACAAAATAAAAAGTTTAAATAAAAGTGAGGTGTTGTGTTTAGTTTTCTTCTTTTTTTTTAGTTGAATGATTTCAGTATGAATTTTTGTTTTTTTTTGGTTTCTCTTTAATTTTGTCTTTTCTAAAAAAATTTTACTACATTTTAAAAGTGTAAGTCTTTTCTTTGTTGCCAAAAAATGGTTGTTTGTTTTACTAGAATATTTCAAAATAGGTTTAAGTTTTCTCTTTTTGGTATTTTTGAAATGAGAGTTTTTGTTGTAAACAATTTTACTTTAAACACACTCAGTGCCCACTTCCTTTAAAGGTTCTTTGGACTGAAAATAGAGATAAAGGAGAAAAAACAAAGAAATTAGTTACAAATTTGTCAGTACATACATATTTTAAGAAATATAACAATAATATTAAAGAAATTAAACGCTTAAAGTATTACAAAATTAAATTAAATGAAATTTATATTAAATTGAAATAAATTTATTAAAAACTTAAAAAATTTTATGTACAACATTAAATATGTTAATAACTTTCTATTAAAATAGAAATATTGATTAAATTATATCCCCTTAAATTTTAAAATCTACAAATAAATGTTGAAATTATATCAATTTTTCCAAACTAACCTCTAAAAAAATATTAATCATACGTCTAGTTGGACCGATAGTTCCTTTGGAGTATAATCGTAACAATTATGGTTGGATTTTTAGTTCAGTTCTAGTTCCGATCTAGTTAAGTTCTATTTCTGTTCTATGCTAGTTTAGTTCTAACACAGTTCTATCTTAGTTCTAGTTTAATTCTTGGTCAATTCTAGTTCCGTTCTAGTTCAGTTCTAGTTCAGTTCTAGTTCAGTTCTAGTTCAGTTCTAGTTCAGTTCTAGTTCAGTTCTAGTTCAGTTCTAGTTCAGTTCTAGTTCAGTTCTAGTTCAGTTCTAGTTCAGTTCTAGTTCAGTTCAGTTCAGTTCAGTTCTAGTTCTAGTTCTAGTTCAGTTCAGTTCTAGTTCTAGTTCTAGTTCTAGTTCTAGTTCTAGTTCAGTTCTAGTTCAGTTCTAGTTCAGTTCTAGTTCAGTTCTAGTTCAGTTCTAGTTCAGTTCTAGTTCAGTTCTAGTTCAGTTCTAGTTCTGTTCTAGTTCAGTTCTAGTTCAGTTCTAGTTCAGTTCTAGTTCAGTTCTAGTTCAGTTCTAGTTCAGTTCTAGTTCAGTTCTAGTTCAGTTCTAGTTCAGTTCTAGTTCTGTTCTAGTTCAGTTTTAGTTCAGTTCTAGTTCAGTTCTAGTTCAGTTCTAGTTCAGTTCTTGTTCAGTTCTTGTTCAGTTCTAGTTCAGTTCTAGTTCAGTTCTAGTTCAGTTCTAGTTCAGTTCTAGTTCAGTTCTAGTTCAGTTCTAGTTCAGTTCTAGTTCAGTTCTAGTTCAGTTAGTTCTAGTTCAGTTCTAGTTCAGTTCTAGTTCAGTTCTAGTTCAGTTCTAGTTCAGTTCTAGTTCAGTTCTAGTTCAGTTCTAGTTCAGTTCTAGTTCAGTTCTAGTTCAGTTCTAGTTCAGTTCTAGTTCAGTTCTAGTTCAGTTCTAGTTCTAGTTCAGTTCAGTTCAGTTCAGTTCAGTTCAGTTCAGTTCAGTTCAGTTCAGTTCAGTTCTAGTTCAGTTCAGTTCAGTTCAGTTCTAGTTCTAGTTCTAGTTCTAGTTCAGTTCAGTTCAGTTCAGTTCTAGTTCAGTTCTAGTTCAGTTCTAGTTCAGTTCTAGTTCAGTTCTAGTTCTAGTTCAGTTCTAGTTCAGTTCTAGTTCAGTTCTAGTTCAGTTCTAGTTCAGTTCTAGTTCAGTTCTAGTTCTGTTCTAGTTCAGTTCTACTTCAGTTCAAGTTCAGTTCCAGTTCAGTTCTAGTTCAGTTCTAGTTCAGTTTAGTTCAGTTCTAGTTCAGTTCTAGTTCAGTTCTAGTTCAGTTCTAGTTCAGTTCTAGTTCAGTTCTAGTTCAGTTCTAGTTCAGTTCTAGTTCAGTTCTAGTTCAGTTCTAGTTCAGTTCTAGTTCAGTTCTAGTTCAGTTCTAGTTCAGTTCTAGTTCAGTTCTAGTTCTGTTCTAGTTCAGTGTAGTTCAGTTCTAGTCAGTTCTAGTTCAGTTCAGTTCAGTTCTAGTTTCAGTTCTAGTCAGTTCTAGTTCAGTTTAGTTCAGGTATAGTTATGTTCTAGTTCCGTTTTGTTCAGTTCTAAGTTCAGTTCAAGTTAAGTCTAGTTCAGTTTTGTTCAGTTCTTGTCAGTTCTAGGTTCAGTTCTAGTTCAGTTATAGTTCAGTTCTAGTTCAGTTTCTAGTTCAGTTCTAGTAAGTTCTAGTGCAGTTCTAGTTCAGTTCTAGTTCGTTCTAGTTCCGTTCTAGTTCATTTCTAGTTCAGTTCTAGTTCAGTTCTAGTTCAGTTCTAGTTCATTTCTAGTTCAGTTCTAGTTCAGTTCTAGTCAGTTCTAGTTCAGTTTAGTTCAGTTTAGTTCAGTTCTAGTCAGTTCTAGTTCTAGTTCAGTTCAGTTCCGTTCCGTTCAGTTCAGTTCAGTTCAAGTTCAGTTCAGTTCAGTTCTAGTTAAGTCAGTTTCAAGTTCAGGTCTGTTCTAGTTCAGTTCTAGGTCAGTTCAGTCAGTTCAGTTATTCAGTTATAGTTAGTTCTAGTCAGTTCTAGTTCAGTTCTAGTTCAGTTCTAGTTCAGTTCTAGTTCAGTTCTAGTTCAGTTCTAGTCAGTTCTAGTTCAGTTCTAGTTCAGTTCTAGTTCAGTTCTAGTTCAGTTCTAGTTCAGTTCTAGTTCAGTTCTAGTTCAGTTCTAGTTCAGTTCTAGTTCAGTTCTAGTTCAGTTCTAGTTCAGTTCTAGTTCAGTTCTAGTTCAGTTCTAGTTCAGTTCTAGTTCAGTTCTAGTTCAGTTCTAGTTCAGTTCTAGTCAGTTCTAGTTCAGTTCTAGTTCAGTTCTAGTTCAGTTCTAGTTCAGTTCTAGTTCAGTTCTAGTTCAGTTCTAGTTCAGTTCTAGCTTCAGTTCTAGTTCAGTTCTAGTCAGTTCTAGTTCAGTTCTAGTTCAGTTCTAGTTCAGTTCTAGTTCAGTTCTAGTTCAGTTCTAGTCAGTTCTAGTTCAGTTCTAGTTCAGTTTCTAGTTCAGTTCTAGTTCAGTTCTAGTTCAGTTCTAGTTTCAGTTCTAGTTCAGTTCTAGTTCAGTTTCTAGTTCAGTTCTAGTTCAGTTCTAGTTCGTTCTAGTTCAGTTCTAGTTCAGTTCTAGTTCAGTTCTAGTTCAGTTCTAGTTCTAGTTAGTTCTAGTTCAGTTCGAGTTCAGTTCTTAGTTCAGTTCTAGTTCAGTTAGTTCGTTCTAGTTTCAGTCTAGTTTCAAGTTCTAGTTCAGTTCTAGTTTCAGTTCTAGTTCAGTTTCTAGTTCAGTTCTAGTTCCGTTCTAGTTCAGTTCTAGAACTTCAGTTCTAGTCAAGTTTCTAGTTCAGTTCTAGTTTCCGTTCTAGTTCATTTTAGTTCCGTTCTAGTTCAGTTTCTGTTCAGTTCTAGTTCAGTTTCTAGTTCAGTCTAGTTCAGTTATAGTTTTCAGTTTCTAGTTCAGTTCTAGTTCAGTTCTAGTTCAGTTCTAGTTCAGTTCTAGTTCAGTTCTAGTTCAGTTATCTAGTTCAAGGTTCTAGTCAGTTCTAGTTCAGTTCTCGTTCCGTTTCTAGTTCAGTTCCTAGTTCAGTTCTAGTTCAGTTCTAGTTCAGTTCTAGTCAGTTCTAGTTCCGTTTCTAGTTCAGTTCATAGATTCAGTTCTAGTTCAGTTCTAGTTCAGTCTAGTTCAGTTCTAGTTCAGTTTCAGTTCAGTTCTAGTTCAGTTCTAGTTTCAGTTCTAGTTCAGTTCTAGTTCAGTTCTAGTTTCAGTTCTAGTTCATTTCTAGTTCAGTCTAGTTCAGTTCTAGTCAGTTCTAGTTCCAGTTATAGTTCAGTTCTGATTCAGTTCTAGTTCGTTTCAGTTCAGTTCTAGTTCAGATTCTAGTTCCAGTTCTAGTTCAGTTCCAGTTCAGTTCTAGTTTTGTATTCAAGAGTTTAGACTGCAAAATAATATTAATCATACGTCTAGTATGACAAATTATTTTCTTCTACATATACATATATAAATAACGCAAATATGGGTTAGATTTTAAAATTTTTTATGACATATGAAAATTAAGATAACAAGTTATATTTAAGTAATAAAATTGGTTGGGCCGAAAACAATATGCTTTATAGTAGCATAAAAAGTTCTAGATTAAAACTTTCCTTTAAAATAAATAAGTATGTGCGCTAAACAAATAAAACATGGCTGTTATGATTAGGAAATAGGATATTAAGCTAACAGCATATGAAGTTTCAATGAAATTTTTTATAAACATATTGCTGTCTTATTTTTGACACTTTATGATTGATGAACTCAATATAAAATATATTAATTTAGTAGATAAGGCGATCTAGCAGAATAAAGCCAAATTTTTTAAGCTGCTTAAAACCTGTTAAACTAACAAACCTATACAATATCAATCATTATAAAAATCCTTTATTGAAATTAAACAGAAAACAGCAACAAATAACATTTTTGTTTTATGGCCTCTTGAAAATTTTTTCCATAAAAGTGAAAGAGGAATAATATTCCATAAAAAGGCAGATTTTATGTCAATAAATGATTGATACCTTTGAAAAAATAATGAAGGTTTCAGTGAGACACTTTATATAGAAAAAAAGGGTTATAGAAAATAAATATTTATTATAAACTAAAGCATACTTGTGGGTGGCGTAAATCTATACTTGAAATTAAAATGTTTATTTTTCTATGTTGAATTTATGAAAATACATATTGGTATTTTTTGAAAAAAAGTTGACATTTCTAAGAAAAATTGTGTTGCTTTAGGAGAAATCTTGCAGGAAGAGAAAATGTTAAATTAGTGTTGGATTGAGCTTAATATGTGGTCTTGAAAAATGTCTAAATGCCTTTAATTTGCAATTTAAATTTTAAAAATCTTTGTACAATTGTCCGAGTTTTGGCTATTTTTTTAAACTAACCTCTAAATAAATATTAATCATACGTCTAGTAAGACACAATTATTCTATTGCTTACATATACGTCAAATATGAAAGAATTTCAAACATTTTTCATCTCAAATTAAAGCTTAGAAGAGTAATTATGTTATTGTTGCAAAAAGTTCTGATAATTTTAACCCATGCTCTCTAGAGTATTAAAATTAGTATTAAAATTATTATTAAATATGTGTTAGATTTTGCTAAAATGGCAAATTTTGCTGTTAATAAAAACATTTTAAAATTTTGCTTTAATTTCGATTTCCAAAAACCATTGAATGAAATGCTTT